TTGTTGAAATGCAAAATGAGGTATAGGAAAAACCTTAAAATATAGACCCAGGAATTAAAGAGTATGTCTGGAATTAATAGACTGGAAAACATTCAGTGATTAATATTTATGTCTCTAAGATTTCAAGCAGAGATTTAATATTATAAGGAGATGAGAAAGTATATGTATTTTACAAAAATTGTTTTTATCAGAAATATACCCAAATTTAAGTTTTATTTAAACATCCAGGTTGTAGTCACAGGGAAAACTCACATATATGGAATATTTCTATAATGAAATATATATTACTAATTTCTGAAATTTCTCTTTAGGGCTAGATCAGTTCTTAAACCATTGATTTTTTTTTCCTGGTACTGAGGATTGAACTCAGGACCTTATACTTGCAAATCAGGCATGGTGCCTCTTAGCTAAATCCACAGCCCTTTGGAATAGATCAGTTCTTTCTGAGGTATTAAACAGGTAATATTTAGAAGTTTTAAGAAGGTATGATGTAGCTCATTGTGATCATTAGCTTTTTAAGTACCTAGTATCAAAACTCAGAAGTAGAGACAACAGTCAAAAAGCAAGTTGTAAGCTGGGGATTTAGCTCAGTGGTTCAGTGGCCTGGCAAGCGCAAGGACCTGAGTTCAATCCCCGGTAACAAAGAAAAAAAAAAAAGCAAGCTGTAGAGATTAAATAATATAATGGGGATGTAGATTTTTTGAGGGACACTTTCTAGTTATTCGCAGTTGAGACCCAAATGAGAAATGACAGTTTAAATATAGATGTTCATGTGCTGTTATATTAAAGGCATGTCAGCCAGTGTTGTACAACAGTGACTGGGCAGAAATAATAAAAATACCACATTAAGCACATGCAGCCATTATGACGCGTGATGAAAGATAACAGATAGTTCATAAGAACAGCACCAGCTAGATTAACATGCAAGGTGGAGCATTCACTCGTTCATGCGTTCAGAAGACAATGCTGAACACCAAATATCTCTGGAGTCTGATGACTTTCTTCTCATGTCCACAGCACGACTGTGTCTGCTGTTTAGTAGTTTCATAGGCATTCATTGCATTATTCACCTGTTGTGTGTGCCCCTGCCCTTCACTCTGATTCTGTGATCACATGACACCTAAGATCTCCGTTTCCCAAATGAGGATGACATATTTCATGGCACTTCTTCCACCTTTCTTAATGCTTTTCCATTTGTTTAGAATGCATTTATTTATTTATTGAGACAGTCTGTCTGTATGTAGCTCAGAATGGTCTTGAACTCACTATTTAGCCCAGATGGCCTTGAATTTCTGGCCATTCTCCTGCTTCAGCCTTCCAAGTGCTGAGATTATAGGCCTTAGATGCCCGGCTTAAATTTTTTGTTTTAAATCTCTGTCAGGTATACTTCTATTCATTTTTCGGTACCTAATTCCAAAGTTGCCTATACATATGTATCTACATATCATATGTTTGCCTGTTGCTCATACAATGTGTAGCAGCAGTCATGATAGAGATGAGACACATATAAAATGTACACATTTGTATATGTGTAACTTTTGTAAGACAGTAACTGCTGCAACATGTTCTTTGTATCTACTTGTATTTCAGCAATGTTTTGTAATATTTGTCTGCCTATTATTACTCCCACCAATCAGTGAGTACCTAATGAAGGAGCAGAAATTTTTACTTATTTTTAAAGGCTCGGTGTACTTATTGGTTGACTCATTTTGTTCTTGGAAGGATTTTTAATTTGTAAGCTATTAAATATCTACCTTTCCACCAATTTCTGCAGTGCCGGTTTCATTGAAATTTTAGTAAAAAAAAAGAATTCAGTGTAAAAAATAGTGTACTGAAGACACTACCTCCCTCTGTTAGGGAATAGAGATGAAAAGATCCAATATATTGTTTTTAGAGTGAAGGAATTCGACAAGCTAATGTGGGTGCTGCTGGCAGAACACAAGCAGTATGTGCAAAGGCACAGAAATGTGAGATGCCATGGTATGTCTAGGAAACACAGGTACTTTGGTATTTGTAGTGTCCTGTTTAGACTTGAGAGGTGTTACAGGTATCAGACTGCACAGGTCATAGGAGAATACTCATGCAGGAACTCATGGTGACAATAAAAATCAGTGAAGAATCTTGAACAATCTGTTTTAGAAAGATTCTTCTGATTCCTTTGTCAGATGTGGAAGATTCCTTAGTGAGAAGGGTGACTATAGGAGCACTATGTGGAATGCTGTTGTAGAAGTCTGGGCAAGAGATACCCACTTGTACACAAGACCAGCTGCACCGAGGAAGGAGATGAATAATGGAAAGGGGTCAGTATCAGGGTTGGAAATGAGACAGAAGGAAGAATAGTTCAGCATGATTTTTAGGTTTCTAGTTTGAAAGATGGATGTTAGAGGGCAAAGGAAGTTTGGAAAATAAGTTGAGTCTTGGGTTTATTGTATTTAAAATGCCTGTGGGATACAGGTGGGGATGGACAAATCCAGAAGAATCCTGGAGAGAGTTCTTCGTTAGATTTATGAGTTTGGGAGTTATGCGCATATAAAAAATTACAGAAACCACTTGCATTATTATATATTAGAGTGATGTTGAAGTCAGAAGATGAGGTCAGTGAGTGAATCTTGGGGAAAAGTGATCTTTAAAGGAATTTTTTTATAGGATAAAGAAAAGATGAACGTTTCTATGTGTAAAAGCTGTATGTTCCCACAAACAAGACTTTCTGGAGACCTTTGACAGTCAGAATGTGTTTTCTTGTCTCCTTCAATACCACCTTCACATTCCAGTTTATCTTTGTCTCTAATAGAGTCACATTGTAAAATTGAATTGTCACGTGCTTTATGAAAACAAAGCAAATTTCTTTCTTTTTACTTTGAATTAGTAGAGTTGTATCTGTAATAACTTCATCAGAGTTTTGGTAGTCACTTTTTCTTTTGAGGGGCACTGTATACCTGCACCTGCTAGGCAAGCACTCTTGTACTGAGCTACATCCTCAGCTTGCTAACCACTATTGTTTTGATCTAATGAAAGAATTTAAATATACTTTAGCATATTATGGGCTCCTGAAGAATAGATTATATAAGAATGTTCTTGTGGACTAGCGTGAAACACAGGCTGGTGGGTGCTAGTGATGTTCTCATAATTGATATCTGATAATATTTTTTGTTTGTTTTTTTCAGTTTCTTTTTATTTTTTAACATTATTTTTAAATTAGTACCTGTTTGTCAAATATATTAATTGCATTCATCGTAGTAAATTTGAACCTGTACATAATATATCTTAATTCTTTTTCTGATAGTATTTTTAAAAGTGAGTTTTGGAATATGCCCCCTCCAAAATTCTTTCCTGTGGAGTATGTTTGTGTGTATTCAAAGTGTGGCAAATTACTTCTTTATAATTTGTAAAAGCTTTTGAATGCAAATAATTTAAAGAAAAATTTACAGAAAGATTTCTATTGGGTATTGGGTAAATTATGCTAAAATACTTTGTAGCACTTTGAATACTATTACTACTTGAAGGATATAGAAGTGGACTAATTAATTTTCCATAGGACAAAAAATTAGAGATAAAATTATTTTAGCCTTTGATTTACTAATTTAGTTTGCAATCAGATATCAGTGCAATGTAAACTTTAATTCTCTGAGGTTAACTATGAATTGTTTCACAAAAAAAGCATTTTTTTCATATGTATATATTCTGTTTTCTCAGTCCTTTGAAGGCTGACAGTATTTTATAATTTATATTTTTTGCATAACTTTTTACACTTGAAGTGATAAATATTTGTTGAATATTCATTAAAAATTTAGATTTAAGTATTTATTTATTTGGTACTGAGGATTGAACTTGGGATCTTCAGCACCACTGAGCTAAATCCCTGGCCCCAAAATATTTATTTTAAGAAAGTTACTTTTAAGGTTAAGACAGTGAATACAAGGAACAGTTTAGCATTCTGGAAAGACCGTGTGATTTGTCCAGCAAATCTGTGCATATTGTGGTTTAGTTAAATTTGTGAACTTAGGAGTCATTTAACTTTTCTGAGGTTTAATTTCTTCTTCTATAAAATGGAGGTATTATTTACCTAATAAAGAGTGATGTGATTTAAATGAGATTGTTTAGGGAAAGCTCCTGGCACACACTATAGATTCAATAAAAAAGCCATCATCATTATTATTCTTCCGTACTACATTTTACAACTGTCTATGAGCACTTCTCAGATATTTTTGATGACAATCACTGTAATACATGTTTTTGGTAATCACTTAAAACAAAAGTTAATACAATATTATTTATCCTTACAACATAAGATAAACTAATATATTCTGTTGTATAACTAAAAAAAATTGCCACTTTATAAATTGTTTTCATGGGTCATTAATGAGTTGCAACCCTGATTTGTAAAGTGTGTATGGTCCTGTATCTGCAGCTCATAACACAACACTCTATTTGACGGTTTTAACAGTATAATAATTCTGGGATTAATTATAAGATTTTATATCATCTGGGACTGTATATTATTTTTAGGCTATGCTAACCTTAGGTTAGCAAGGAAATTTACTAAGTATACTTCTTTACTATTGTAAATATTTAAACTGTTAATTATGAATGATATGTATTACTTTTTTCCTCTTAATTTTTTTGATAGCACTCTTATGAAGTAGATTGGAGCAGATATTATTTTACTAATGGAGATATCTAGAGAGAAGATTATGATGGAAAATCTTTTCAATTAATTAATAGATTAGAACTTCTTAGATTTAGTCTTCAGTATTCTACATATTTAGTCATTCAACCTAAAAATGGTTGCAGGGGTTTTATTTATATTTTGTAAATACCAGTCAGAATAGATAGTGAAATACCTTTCCACAATCACTAAAATTGGAGCTTACCATCATAAATTACAAGTTACTCAGTGGCATGACTCGTATGAATACAACATTTGACTATTTCATAATATGTGAAATATTGTTTTGCAACATGAAATCATATTTTGAAACCTTTTTCTTCTCTTTCTGAAGGGCTTCATATGTCCCCAGTGCATGAAGTCTCTTGGATCTGCTGATGAGCTTTTCAAACACTACCAGGCAGTTCATGATGCTGGCAATGATTCAAGCCATGGAGAGGCTGAGCTTGCTCTGCAGAGGTATAGCACGATGGTTCTGAAGGGTGACACACTTGTGAGCATGCATGTGACACTATTGTTTAGTCACGATTAGTTTCTTTTTTAATATTATTTAACGTAAATCTCACTTAATCTGAAAATTGAGCATGGCTTTTCTCCCATATCGTTATAACCTGTTCAGTCTGTGACCAGCAGCTATCCGTGTCATCTACAACATCCTATGTATGTTATGTTTTTAATGAGGATTATACAACTGCAGGTTATGAAACTTGGAAATCCTGGGATTGCCAGGAGACTACTACTTAGAGGTGCTAATCCCAATTTGAAAGACTGAACTAGTTCACTGTCATTCACTATACAGCCAAAGCAGGTTTCCTGGACACTTTACAGACTTTGCTGGAGTTTCAAGCTGATATTAACATTGAGGATAATGAAGGGAACCTGCCCTTGCACTTGGCTGCCAAAGAAGGTCACCTCCAGGTGGTGGAATTCCTTTTGAAGCACACAGCCAGCAATGTGGGGCGTCAGAACCATAAGGGGGACACTGCCTTTGACTTGGCCAGGCTCTATGGGAGGAATGAGGTCCTTAGCCTGATGGAGGCAAACGGGGTCAGGGAGCCACAAATCTGCATTGATTTTGGGGAGGGCTTTTTCCCACATTGCTTTTGCTTTGTCAGTTAATTGGTTGCTGCCTTGACCATTTTAATATTGGTCCTTAATATAGTTTTTGCGTATTTCAAGCAGCTGGTTAAATCTTCTGAAACTGTATAAGTGTAGATCTTACTATACACAACATTTTTTTCACCTGCAAACATACTGATTTCTAACATGCAATTGATAATAGTTTTGCTTTCTTCTGAATATTTTATCCTCCCTTGACTTTTTCTTTGCTTACCCATTACTCCTTATATCCAATTTGGGAGCTTTATTTTAGAATGTTTGCTCTGATGATTCTTTTGCCTAATTAAAACACTTTCAGAATAAAAAACTTTTTAATTTAGCATATTTTGTTCAATAAAGAATTAATAAGTTAAAATGATTTTAATGAAGAATTCAAATTTAATTTTTAATTTAAATTTAAAAACTCAATCACCAAAATACATACATTGTACTTCCTGACAATTTAGTTTGACCACTTTTAGAATTAAAGTTAAATATGTAATTACTTAGAACAGACTTCGACAATGTAATTTTGCTTTTCTTCTGCTATTATTGAGAACATTAATTTTCTACTGCCACTAAAGAGTGAAGCTTATTTCATTCTACTTACAAAATTTTTGTTATGCTTTTTTTAAAAAAACTATTCTCGATTGATACATCTGCTATAACAAAGATACTAAATGAGAGTATTGTGCTTAATTAACTTCATGGTTGATAGATAACATAGAACTATATATTTATTTTTCTCTTTCTTACTTCTGGGGATTGAAATCAGTGCTTCCTGCTCAACTGGGCAGGAACTCTACTACTGAGCTACATGCATCCTTAGACATTTTAATTTTATTTTTTGAGACAGGGCCTCACTAAGTTGTCCTCACTAGGACTTGAATCTATTGCCATAGCCTCCCTTGGTGCTGGGATTGCAGGTGTGCACTACCATACCCTGCTCAGTTCTAGGGTCTGCTATCATATCTGCCATTGGTAATGGCACGGAGCAAGAAGAGTCCTGTTTTCTGCTGTTTATAATCCAACATAGAAGACATGTTTTTGGCATCCAGAATGGTAATCCTAAACATGTTTTCTGCTGCATTAAGGCCTAGCATGGTCTATTTAACTTTTATTTTTTTGTCACTCTGTGTCTTAGATAAGGGGAACAGAGTAGAAGATTCTCAGTCAGGGTAGAGCATGTCATATTCAGAACAGGAACAAGCCAGTGTTGTGAGAGCTGTGTGAATGAAAGAGAGCGTTTTAAGACAGGGACCAGATAGATTGTGCAGATGTTAGAGTCCTTGGTGATGAATTTAAATTTGACACTGCAACAGGAAGCCATTGATATTATTGTTGATAAATTAATAGAAGACATTTTGCTTCTGCTTCAGGTACTTGATAGTTATTTGATTATCCCAATGAGAAAATGTTTGTTATTTATAAATCATGAGCTTTAGGAATAAAATTATTTTTCAAATATACACACACACACACATAAGGCTCATATATATACACATACATATACATATATATGTTTGGCATATATATATGTTTGGCATTATACAGGAAATCTTGGGGAGTATTTTTTTAAGAAATGAGAAAACTTTATAGTTACTAGTTATTAAGAAACCTGGTTGAAAATTAAAGGGCGTTAACTGTTGCTCCTCCTCCCCTTATACCTATTTAGAGATGATATAACACTACTCAGACAAGAGGTCCAAGACCTACAGGCTTCACTTAAGGTAAGGATAAAGTGATTATACTTGTTTATTTTCAGTGTTTCACATAAGGAGTTTTTTTATAGTTTACTAACTATAAAACTTTTTTCATTAGGAAGAAAAATGGTACTCAGAAGAATTAAAGAAAGAATTAGAAAAATATCAAGGGCTGCAGCAACAAGTAATTGCTTTTTACATACTTGAAGCATGTCCACTAATTGTTTATATTTATTGTTGAAAATTGAGTATACCTTTTTTACATAGCCTGATACAAACAACTTACTAATTTGTTTCCTTGTAAATTCTTTGTAATTCTAATCAATGGAAATAATCACACTGGAAAAGAAGATGTAATTTATTAAAGGTATTCCATTAAGAATCATTTACCTATTTTAGTGCTGGGGATTTAGCTCAGTGGTTCCGCTGCCTGCTTCTCAAGCACAAGGACCTGAGTTTGATCCCTGGTACCCCCCCCAAAAAAATATAGGTTCAAATAATAGTGAATCTCTTCAAAACATTTGTTTGTGAATTGGAAATGACCAGTGTATCTTGGTAGAGAAAAAATATTAAAGAATTTATAGTTTATATTAGTGAAGAATGTCTGAAAACATGAGAAAATTGTTCTGTTAACAATGTTAGTTTTTAAAACTGAATAAAAATGTATATAGTACACACATGCTCTTACACAATACAGTCCCTGTGTTTTTCAGTGTGGGAATATGTTCTGAGAAATCTGTGTTAGGTGATTTTATTTTTGTGCAAATACTATAAATTTTATTTACATGAACTTAGGTGGTATAGCTTACACACTCAGACTTTATGTTACAGCCTGTTGATCTACGGGTGTATACCTATTTACATCATGTTACTATACTGAGTGCTGTAGGTAATTGTAACACAGTGGTGTTTGTGTATGTAAACATAGAAAGGACACAGTAAAAATACAATATAAAAGATAAACCATGCATGTATAGAGGGCAGTGTCACGAATGGAGCTCACAGTACTGGAAATTGCTTTGGGTGAAATCATTGAGTTACTGTTAACTTTTTTCCCCCTTTATAACCTTTTAATCTTTTGGTGTTTTTGAGACAAGAGTTTTACTCTGGCTGGCTTTGAGCTCACTATGATCCCGAGGCTGACCTCAGACTCTCTGTGATCCTCCTGCCTCAGCCTCCTGAATGCTGGCATCATAGGTGTGTGTCATCATGCCAGGCTTATAACTTTTTAAACTTTTAGACTCCTGTAACACCTAGCTTAAAACACAAACACACTGCCAGGACCTTCTTTATGCTAGGCAAGTGCTGAGCCACTGAACTACACCTCTATTCCCTAATGCCTCTCTTTTTTCAGCATGGTATTAGTTCAATGGCATATTTTCCCTTATGCTAATATTCAGTTTTTGTTTTTGTTTTGTTTTGTTTTTTTGGTACAGGGGATCGAACTTGGGACTTTGCGCTTGCGAGGCAGGCCGGCAGAACCACAGAGCCAAATCCCCAGCCCTAATTTTCAGTTTTTTTTTTTTTCAGCTTTAATTGAGTTTATTGGTACATTTTAGGGGTACAGTACAGTTACATTCATTGTTGGGATCTTGTACCTCTACATGGGAAGTCTTGATTCTCATTTTTTCCCCTTACCCCTGCCCTCCCTTCACCCCCTCCTCCCCTCCCCATCTACACTTTATTTTCATCTTTTCATTCTCTCACATTTTTTTCTTTTCCCTTTTTACTCTTCCCCTACCCATCCCACCTTCCCTACACCTTTACTAATTTTCAATTTTATAGGTGCTTTGTACATTTACAATAATGAGATAATCCAAGTCTGATTTCACAAATTAGATGGTTTATTGCCTTGCAAAGAAATTTTTCTTAGGGTCACAGTGCTGGAGGGGCTCTGTGTAACATGAACAAATCTCATAGGGAATACAAATCTGTGAGAGTAACATGGCAAATCTGGTAAGGAATAGTCACCACACGAGTTACATTAGCCACACAGCGAGTAAGCTCAAACCATTCAAGTCTTAATTGCTCACTTACGGTGGAAGCAGGTCTCTGAGGGAAGAAAGTGCAGTCTAATTATTAAAGTCTGAGGTTTACCTTTATGAACAGTTTCCTACAGGTGACACTTTGCAACTCTGGAGAGGTCTAGGACATTAGCCCTTGTTCCTAGAGGGCGTTCAGGCATGTGTGGGTGTGCCTTGAGAGTTCAAAGGCAGGCAGGGCGTGGCCCTGTGTGGTTTGGGCTGTGAATCTGTGAGAAGCAGCCAACAGATCGCTGCCTCTCTGGCTCAAGTCCCAGTGGCTGTCACACGCCTAGGTTTATACAATTTGAAGTCTAGTAGTTGTGATCAGTAGCTCACATGGGGTACAATTAGATATGATGTCATATTCAAAAGGAGTGGTAATGTTATTATGACATTTATAGGGTTTAGTAAGACCCATAGTAATAGTTTTATGTACATTAGCATACAAAAAAAATCTGCCTTAGGACTGACTGGTGAACTGCATTAAATCATTATTCCACCTGCCTAGTGATACCGTAAAAATAATTACCAAACTTCAATTTCCGCTAGAATTTTGCTACTTGATCTGACACTTTCAAAATTTGGATTTTCAGGCATTTTTAACATTGGCAATTGCATGGAATTGTCTGTTTGTCTTCCTTTAATGCATTTGTTTATGTCTTTTGTTTTCTTTGAGGAGGCTAAACCTGATGGATTGGTGGCTGATTCATCAGCAGGTAACTTAAGACATGTTCTTTTTCATTTTTTTCTTATTTCTCATCCTATTTTTTTCTTTGATGTCTGCTAAAGGAATTTTGTTTGTAGTTTTGCTTTTTGACTCTAAAATAGTGATAATAATGGTCATATTGTGGGGTTAGAAAGTTACCCATGCATTTCATAATTTCATTAGCTAACTAAAATCTTGAGTTTTTTTTTTTAAGTTCCTTGTATTCTGAAGTTAGAAATGAATTTCTGGAGTATTACATCAATAGGATTATTTAATGAAAATTTAATTCTGTATTGAAGAGTTATGCAGTTTTTGTCCTTTGAAGTAAATTGATGGAATGTACTAGCATCTGCATAACTGTTAAGTGCAGAAAAGCTCAGTAAATAATCAAAATTATATTTTGAGATTAGCTGTTTTGGCACCAGGGATCAAACTCGGGACCTTGAGCTTGCGAGGCAGGCTGCAGAACCACAGAGCTAAATCCCTGGCAAGATTAGCTGTTATATTTAAAAAAATCTCTTTAAAAAGAGAATAAAGTAGGAGCAGAATGTATTTCTTTGATAATTTGATAGATATAGGAAAATAACTATGAAATATGAAGTTAGACTAACTTAAAAATATTTACAAATTATTTGGAGGTCATTCCAAATGTTCATTTGTTTATAAATTATGAGTTGTGCTTTCAATGAATGCGATACGCTTAATTCATGAAATGTGAAAGCAGTATATTTGTAATTGGATAATGGACTCATTATCTTTACTGCTACAATGATTATAAGTAATAAGAATTTAGTATATGTAATTGATATTGTAATTAAATAACTATTGCACTTTTTTTTTTTTTGTAGAACTACAGTCTTTGGAACAGCAGTTAGAGGAAGCTCAGACAGAAAATTTTAATATTAAGCAGATGAAAGATTTATTTGAACAGAAAGCAGCCCAACTTGCTACTGAAATTGCAGGTAAATTGAATCAGAATTTTTTAGCCAATAAATCAATCCTGTTACATTTTTATTACTATGTTTCCTCAGGCAAAAAAACCCAGTATTTTAGTAGTATAATAAAGTATTTGTTATAGACTATGATGATAATGAAGGGAAATTAATGATTTAGAGGCTTTGTAAATTATTTTGTTTATCCCGATACCTCCTCTTTTCAAAGGATTGGTTTTTTTCCTCTGTAGATTCTTCTTAAAATTAAAGAAGATAAATGTTCTTTTGTGGCATGTTTAAGGATTAGAAACATTTTAAAAGTTATATAAAAAAGTTATATAATACAGTAGAGAGTCAACATTTGCTTTGATTTCATTTACACATAT